AAAAAAAAAAAAAAAAAAAAAAAAAGGCTGTCTTTTCTTTGATGCACTTTTGGCTCCTATGTCCAGATCATATGGCTGTAATTGTGTGGGTTTTGTTTCCGTGCCCTCTCTTTTGTTCCACTGCTCTATGTGTCTATTTCTGTGCCACCACCATGCTGTTTTTGTTCCTATGGCTTTGTGGTATAATTTGAAATCGGGTATTGGGATCCCTTCAGCCTTGCTCTTGTTGCTTAGGATTGCTTTGGCTGTTCTGGGTCTTTGTGTTTCCATATGAATTTGAGGATTGTTTTTTCTAGTTCTGTAAAAGATGTCATTGGTATTTGGATAGGGGTTAAATTGACTCTGTAGATTGCTTTTGGTAGTATGGCCATTTAAACAATATTAATCCTGCCAACCTATGAACATCTGGTGTCTCCTTCAATTTTGTTCTTCAATGTCATATCATTCTTAGTTTTTTACCTTTTACCTCCTTAGTTAGATTGATTCCTAGGGTTTTTTTTTTAAACCTATTGTGAATGCAATTGTTTTCCTGATTTCATGTTTTTCTGGTTCATTATTGATATACAAAAAAGCCAGTGATTTTTAAAATGTTGATTCTGTATCCTGGATTATCTTCCTTTTTAAGGATAGTGTAATACAATATTTTGATTTTAAAATACTCATGCTCTTTAATCCAAAAATTCTACTTCTAGGAATATGTTCTAAAAGCCCACCCATGAGTAAAGCCAAAGATAGGTGTGAAAGGGCGGTCCCTGAGCAGAGTCCAGGACAGGGAGACATTAGACTCGAGCCAAAGACAAGGGTTGGTACAATCACATTATGTCTATGATCCTGAAGATGAACAGTATGGGATTCCACGTGTAGACACAGAAGCCCAACAGTGACTGTTCCTCCTGGCTGCCTGCTTCCAGTGTTTGGGCAAACACATATGTGTCAGCCACCAGAGAGTTCCAGGAGTAATAAAGTGAGCTGTCAGACAAGCCTGTCTGCGTTGAGTTTTTCTTTAATGTTAGAGGAAATAAACAAGGAAATAAACACAATATCCACTGGCCTGCATCAGTGTCAGGAAGGAAATAAATAAAGTTCTCCAGGAGAAGCACAGGAGGGTCTCAAGATCAGGGGTAAAGAGGGCTGCCAGGCAAGGGCTTTGGCATAAACCAGTCAAGAAAGTCTAGCTATGCTGAGGCCCTCGTAAGTAAAGTGCAAGACAGCCCAGGACCAGGGTGACTGGAAGAGGCATGAGGTGAAGCTAGGAGGCAGCAGGGGCCAGGCCTTCCTGTCTAAGTGAGGATCCGGGATGTTAGTCTGTCATGATGGCAGCCCTGTTAGGATAAGCTCTGAACTCGGACAGACCAAGGTTCCAATCTTGCCTATGCCACATGCTGCCTGTAGGACAGTGGCATGTGATAAATTTATGTCTCTAGGCCTCAACCGTCTCATCTGTAAAATGGGGCTGTGAATAACAAAGAAGGCCACATCTATGCAGGGCAGAGCCTGGGGCCTGTGCACTAAAAGACCTCAGGGGATGAGCGTGGGGTTGGGAGCCAGGAATAGCACTTCAAAAATGAGAACCAAGACCTGTCATGTAAAGGTAACAAGATCCCAATAATGCATGTAACTGTATTGTATACCTAAAATGTACCAATAAACTCAATTTAACAAAAAAGGAATAGCACTTCAGCCTCTGAAGAATTTTAAGAAAGGGAGTGATAAGACTGAATCATGTTTTCGAAAGATCATTCTGATTGCAGGGGAGAGAAGGATCTATAAAAAGATAAGACTGTTCAGCAAAAAAAAAAAAAAAAGCAAGTCATCCAACAGTTATTTATAGAATGATTCATTTAAATAGACTGAGCTATAATAGTTAAGTGGATGGAAAACTGAACAAAGAACTGAAATACAGTATATATGTGAGCAGGATAACACATGTGGAGAAACAGACGCCAATCTTCTGGAACATTCTTCAGGTTAGTTCTTTGTAGTTTTTTGAGACCCATGATTCCTACTATGAGCAGCCATTTTAAAGGAAGGTACCTGCGTTGGCCTTGAGGTCCTCGGGGGTCACCATGACTACAAACCAAATGGCACGCTCGTTGCGGAACATCTCGTAGGCCCACCTGCGGATGGAGCGCATGCACTTCACGGCGGCGATGCCGTTGTTGGCAATGAGCACCTGAGAGAAACCAGGAAGGGGCCGGGGCTGTACCTGCGCCTGTGCCGGAGCCGCCTGCTACCCAGGCTTCTGCGGAGCCCCCCATCCACAGCCCACAGCCCGCAGCCTGGCAGCTCAGGTACAAGAATGGATGAGAGGATGAATTCGGAGGCCTTCGTTTGAGGCCACATGAGGACCTTTCTCAGTTCCTGAGTGTTTAGAAGGTACCGTGCTCCAGTTTGGTGTGTTTTATCTGCCTTTTGTCATTTTGTCCTCACAACAGCCATTTGAAAGAGATTTTATCAATTCCATCGGGCGTGGTGGGACATGCCTAAAATCCCAGGACTCTGGGAAGCTAAGGCAGGAGAATCACAAGTTCAAGCCCAACAAGATGATTTAGTAAAACCCCGCCTCAAAATTTTAAAAAGTGGGGAAAAAAGATACTGAACCTCGGAGGAGTTAAAGCATTTCCCCAAGGTCACACAGCGAGTAAGTGGGAGATCTGGGGCTCAAACGCAGACGTGTCTGAGTCCACAGTCTAACCTATACTTTGAACTAAAGAAGAACAGTCTTGGATTTGGTAAAGAGGAACAGCAGTAAAGCCGGGCGTCCCCAGTAGCAGAGAGCAATAGAACAGGTCCTGGTTTCCAATCCTGTTCACATTATGAACTTGCTGTGTGACCTTAGGCAGCTCCTTTTCTTCTGTGAGCTTTACATGCATATAAAGGGGTCAGACTAACCATCTTCTTGGTCTCTCAGAAACAAAACCAAACTTTGGGAGTTTTTGCTTAAAAAAATGAAGTCAGGCTTGGTGGCGTACACCTATAAACCCAGCATTCCAGGAGATTGAGGCAAGAGGATTGCGAGTTCATGTCTAGTCTAGGCAACTTAGCAAGATCCTGTCTCAAAAAATAAAAAAATAAAAAGGCTGGAGAAGTAGCTCAGCGCAAAAGCCTTGAGTTCAATTCCCATTACAAAAGAACCCCCCCCCAAAAAAAAACTAAATTAATGGCCTCAAAGCTCTGACTGAGTATTTTTATCATGTTAAGTCCTCCTCCCTTGCTCTGGCTCTGTGATCTTTATGACAGTGTAAAGGACAAGTCCCAGTAGAGATCTGGGATGTGATCGCCTCTAGGTTACAGAAGGGAAAACAGGCTGATGAGTTCACATCCCATAACCAGCCACCTGGGATTCGAACCCAGGATTCCTGGCTCAGGTTCAATGTTCTTTCTACCCTGTCAAAAATGCCCCTTAGGAAAGACTGATGAGTTGGCTGGGCTGTGGCTTTCTCAGTCTTATTACCACAGCAAGGCTTGGCCAGGAGAGAAGAGTCACAGGTGGTCCCTACTGTTCTCACTCATCTGTGGACCTCGTGGGGAGGGGCCAGCCTGCAGCTCTAAGGACAAGCCGAGGTTACCTCTTAAGCCACAAAGAACACTAGCTCTGGCCCAGAGCCTTCTGTGGCTACCTCAGGCCCTCAGCTCCTGAGAAGTCACTGCTGGCCACCAGGTGGGCTGGCTTCAAAGTAGCAATGTGCAGCTTCTGTTGTGGGGGGCCCTGGGTTGGATCCCCAGCACCACAAAAAAGAAAAAAAATGCAGCTTCTGGATTCTACCTGGGGGACTCTAAATCGAGGTCTGGGGCAGGGAGGAGGAAATCTCAATGCTCAAGTGGCAAGATGAACCCCAGCCTGGTTGGGGAAGCTGTGTGAATCCGTCACTCAACAGTGTACTTACTATAGGGGAAAGGGGCTTCTGGGATCTAAGAACCAAGGTTCAAATCCCAGCTCCACCAATGGGCAAGCAGCCTCCGCCCAGGCCTCAGTTTCCTCGTCTGTAAAATAACACCCACTGACAGAACGTGTGGATGACTGAATGAGAAATGACGTAAATCAGGCAGCAGGCGACCTGCCTTGGAACAGGCCCTCTTAAATAGTTAGCAGCTCCTGCTAACATCACCACTACACTTACATCAAATGGCAAAGAACAAGGCGCTACTGCCAGACTAATGTGGGTTCAAATCCCAACACCAGCACCTATTGTCTACCTGACCCTGGGTAGCCAGCGTCAAATCCCTGAACCCCAGCCAGTCCTGGACCTGACAGGAATAACCACACCTGGGTGGAATAACCAGGAAAAACCTGGGTGGGGCCCAGGTTTCGCCAGAAAACAACATGAAGCCTTCCCAGAGAACAAATCTTAGCGTCTACCCTTCTGTGACTATCACTACAACAAGGGGTCTTCTCTCTTCCAGGAAACACTAAGCCTCAGGAGGGCAGGGCTGGGTTTATGCTGCCCTCCCAGTAACCCAGGCAGCTGCCCCTTTCGGGAAACCACCTAGGAATCTCCTGACCGTGCCTGAGGCCTTGGTTTCCCCTTCTGGGAAATGGGCTGATGTACCCATTGCATCAGGCTGTTGGGAGAGTGAAAAGCTCCATCCCCTCCGTGTAGCATGAGGAAGGACCCTCCAGCTGGTTCTCCCATCTCTAGCAGAAGTGGAGGCCCCTCCATCCCAACCCAGCAGGATCCGCCCATACCTTCTCAATGACCCGATCCCCCCCGAAGCGTGTGACGAACTCGGCTGGGGAAGCCACCGTGAAGTCTCTGTGCAGGTCCAGCTTCTTGTGTTCCCAGCCCCTCTTCACCAGGTGCAGCCCGGACATGCTTGGTCTGCAGAGAGAAGGGATGGAGAAAGCCATGGTGGCGGGAGCCTGGGGGCCTCCGTACTCCAGGTTTCACGAGTACGATCATCACTCATACATGAGAGGCAGCTTGTGTCAGAGGTGTTCTTTCGTTTTGTTTGTCCCGGGAGTTAACCATGCTCTTCCTTTACCTGGTGTCCCTTGCACCTACTGCTAATTCACCCCCCTCCCGGTAGGCTCCCAGTACAAGTAAGATGGATCTGTTCCATCATTTTTGGGGTGTTATCCCTCTGGGGCAATTCTACTTCCTTTTACCTGGTCTGGCTGGGGTTTTTTGTTTTGTTTGGTGGGGGAGGCAGTACTGCAAATTGAACCCAGAGGCTTCACACAGAGCTACATCCCCAGCCCTTCTTTTGGTTTTTACTTTGAAACAGGGTCTCACTAAGTTGCTAAGTTACCCAGGCTGGGCTCACTCTTGCAGTCCTCTTGCCTCAGCCTCCCACCGTGCTGTGATTACAGACATTGTGTCACTGTGTCTGGCTTCTCTATTCTTTCTAGAAATCCTACAGTTTGGATGTTGAAATTCCTAGAGCGGCCCACTAGGTTATGCATTTTCCTCTCTCCTCTTCGCTCTTTTCCTCTACCCTGGGATGATTTGCTCAGCCTTATGATCTAAGTATGCAGCAGAATTCTTCATTTTGCTCCCATGTTTTCAAAGTCTGGAGGGCTTCTCTTCAATCTCAAATACTGCCTCTGCACAGCATCCTGTTCCTTTGTGTGCAACATCCTGTCTGACCTAGGGGAGGACACTAACGACAGTGCTTCAAAAATTTCTTCTCTGGCATGGTTGCTGTGTCTTCCAGGTCTCCTGCGTCTGCTTGTTGGTTTGTGCGGGCCCTGTCTTCCTTATTGTGTCCAAGGGCTGAGGGTGCAACTTAGTGGTAGAGCACTTGCCTGGCATGATGGGACCCTGGGTTCCATCTCCAGCATGAAAGGGAAGGGAAGGGAGGAAAAGGGCAGAGAGGGGAAGGCTCCCATCTGGGGTCAGTCTGGGGTACATCATCGCGCCCAGGGGGAACTAGGCCAAAAGTTGGGATCTTGCTCTTTCCTGACATGACCTCAAACCATTTTTCCTATTGTCCTTTTTATAAAGTGCTTGGCTTCTTTTTAATGTTAATCTTCTCAACGTTAGTTCTCCTCTCTTCCATCTTTGTGGGTGCTTTCTTTCTGGCAAAACTGAAAGCTTTTGCTCCTGTTTCCCATAGTATATCTCACTAAAAGCAGTAAGCAGTAACCATGCTACAGCCTGAATGTTGGACTGCCTTGAAATTTCCTCTACCAGATTAATTAGTCCACTGTCCTTAATCTCAGTCTTCCACAAAGGTTCAAGACATGAGAAAAGTAGACAAATTTTCTGCCAGAACATAACACACATACCCTGGAGTCCAACAACCAATGAACTCTTTGTCATCTGCATTTTTCTGAGCATTCTGGTCTTCTGAGCTGTGACTAGAGTCTCCCAGCAAGCTCAGGTTATAACATTCTAGGTACCTCCAAACCTTTCCAAACTCTTTTTTTTTTTTTTTTTGGTTTTGTTTTTTTTGAGACAGGGTCTCACTATGTAGTTGAGACTGACCTGGAACTCACTATGTAGCTCAGGCTGGTCTCGAACTCACCGCAATCCTCCTGTCTCAGGCTCCCGAGTGCTGGGATTACAGGCGTGCGCCACCATGCCCAGCTAAGTCTTTTTTTGGTACCGGGGATAGAACTCAGGTCCTTGTGCTTGTGAGGCAGGTGCCGGAACAACTGAGCTAAATCCCTCGCCCCTCCAAACTCTTCCCATGAACCACTTCCTAAGGCTTCTGAACCACGTGGTCGGGTAATGTCACAGCAGCACCGCTTCTCTGGTGCCCAAATCTTCCTTAGTTACTTAACTCATGAGGACAAAATACCCATAGCCAGCTGGCTCCAAGGCAAGAGAGCACAGCACAAGGGCACAGCGAAGGATTGTCACTCATGGCATGGCAGAGAGTGAAAGGAGAAGCGAGACAGAGAGAGAGAGGGAGGGAGGGAGGGAGAGAGAGCACGCCGTCCAGGTCATGCCCACAGTGACTTCCTCTTCTGACCAGACCCTATCTCCTAACTGAGGGTCAGCTGTAAGGCGCCATAACCCAGTCACCTTCCAAAAGCCTTGCCTACGATGCATGAGGCTCTTGGGGGTACACCTAGATGTAAACCATAATATCTTCTCTGCTCTGCTGGAAAAGCGGGAGAGCAACAGCTGCCCTGACTGCGAACTGATGAGAAGAAAGGCGCCTCCTTGGGCCAAATGTTTCTGCTACCATCAGAAAGCAAGACGGGATACTATGTAATCCAGAAAACACTCATAACTTAAAACGTATCTTTTTGACAGTACAAAACTGGGATCCCAGAAGACGGGAGCCTTGGGAATTTCTCAGGCCACAGGTTCTCTCAAAGCCTTCTGGGATGACCACTAGGCCAGGGGTGGGCAAACCAGGGTTCCATGGGCCAAATCCAGTTGCCATGAGTTTTTGTGTCTCCTACCAGCCAAGAAAGGTCTTGACCTTGTTAAATGGTTGATAAAAATCAAAACAATCCTATTTCATAATACATGAAAGTTATATGAAATTTCAGTTTCAGTATCCATAACATTTGGAACACAGCCAGGTACATTCAAGTGCACACCTATGACTGTTGGGGCAGGAAATAGCAGAGTGAGCAGTTGCAACCGAGACCATATGGTCACTAAGCTGAAATATTTACTCTCTGGCCTTTTATGAAATCTGATTCCAGCCTTGAACTAGGCAACTGTCCTCTTCTTTTTCTCTTTCTGTGTTTATTTGTCTGTTGTTTGTTTGTGGTACTAGGGCTTAAATCACAGGACCTTTTCACTGAGCTACATCTCCAGGCTGGGCTTGAATTTGCCACCCTCCTACCTCAGCCTCTTAAGAGTGCTAGGATTCTCAGATCTTTTTTTGACAGGGTCTCACTAAGTTGCCCAAGCTGGCTTTAAATTGGCAATCCTCCTGCCTCAGCCTCCTGAGTAGGTGGAACCACAGGTACATGCCACTGTACCTGACTTAGGCAGGTGTTTTCAAGGCCAGTTGTTTTAAAAGGAACTGATGCCTGGGCCACACCCTGGACTCAGTACTCAGCATCTTTAGGAGTGATGCGGGGGCCTGGGCATCTCTGTTCTTTAAACCACATCCCCAAGAAATTCTAATGCACAACCAAGGTTGGGACTCATGAATCTCCAAGCAACATTTCAATGCAGGCAGCAGAATTCCCAAGTCAGTGACCTTCTTCAGAAGAGGGGACTGTAGGACACTGAAGCCCAGATTCTTCTGCAACCCCCTCCCCAACTTTTTTTCATCCAGTTCAACAACCCAAGCCTTTTCTTAAAAGCCCTTCTCTACTCTGACCCACATTTGTTTTTCGTTCTCTGAACTCTCACCCCATTCACATGCCAAGGAAAACTAGTCAGCATTTGAGACCTGTATAAGTTCTGGCTCTTTGGTGGCCCAGGACTTCAGGAAAGAATCCCAGGAGCCTTTTGACTTCCAAAGGTTCTTTCTCAATTGCACTATCTTCTCTTTTAGTATAGACTTTTGGGCTGAGCGAGGACAGCCTGCAAGACCAGCAGGCTCAATAATTCCAGCAGGTCCTGTTAGAATTAACCTCAGTGACAGACAAGGAACTAGGTTCCAAGGCTTGATGGTGCTTGGTCAAGGATACACAGCCCAGTTGCAGGGTCAAGCCCTCAAGGTGGTGGAAACCTGGATGCCTATGGAATGGGCCCTCTGGGCAATGCTTGTGTTCGAATCCCTGTTCTTCTTTCACCAATGCTGAAGACCTCAGTTTCCTTGAGTGTAAAATAGGATGACAAGATTCACACAGTACCCCTTGTGGAGGTGGCATGAGATAAATTCTCCCAGGTGGGACTGCATGAGACTTCATCACACTACTCAGAAGAGCAAGCAATTTAAAACTTAGAAATTCTTTATTTATGGGATTTTTCACTTAATGTTTTCAGGCCACAATTGACAGGAAGCAAAATCATGGACAAAGAGGTAGGATTATGGTCCAGAGAAGGCATCTGTCTCCTCCACTGGGTCAGGATTTCTTGGAGAGGAGAAGGGATATTTCTCAAATATTTTCTGTCCCATCCTGCTCCCAGCCACAGGTTTCACATGGGAGGTGTGCAAGGGATGTTTACCGAACAGGTAAATCTACCCCAAGAAAATGATACAGGAAGAAGCAGTGAGAAAGCTTCAAGAGTCTTCCTCACCATGTTATCTATAACAGCAAAAAGGAAAAATGGCTCCAATACCTATGATTTGTAAATAATATGATGTGTGTGTGTGTGTGTGTGTGTGTGTGTGTGTGTGTATGGTACCGGGGATTAAACTCAGGCCTTGCATTTGTGAGGCAGGTGACAAAAACACTGAGCTAAATCCCTGGCCCAAAAATGTGATTTTTTTGCACACTATAAGTTGTACCCATTTACAGGGAACACTCTGCACCTAGTAAAAGTATGGTGTAGAGCAGGGATAGGTAAAGATTTCATGTCGAGGGCCAGATAGTCAATACTTCAGGTGTTAAAAGGCCAGTCTCTGTCTTACTTCTCCATTTTGCCAATGAGGTTCCAACAAAGCCACAGACTGTGCATAAGTAACGTGTATGGCTATGTTCCAATAAAACTTTATTTGTGGACACTGACATTTCAATTTCACAGTTTTCACATGTCACAAAAATAGACCATAAGAAGCATTCTTGCAAGTTGTATAAAAATGGGTAGTAGCTCATCGTTTGCTGAGTAGGATAAATACTAAAAGTGTGTTACAATATGTATGATTTGATTTCATATATTAAAACATGTGCATCAAAAGGACTGCAAGGATTTACAAATGTTGAACATCACAGAGGGTGGAATTATGATGGTGAATTTTGTTGCTTCTTTGCTTATCTATAACAAAAAACATAGGTTTAGCTTTGCTAACTGTTTAA